CCAAGAGAAGGCCGATTCCGGCGAGTTGACGGTGACGGCGGCGGTCGTAGCCGCGGGAGAGATCGGCCGAGAGAGAGAGAGAGAGAGATGAGCGACTAGGGTTTCGTGTGTGAGTTGTTTGTGGGCTAGACCTATAAATCAAGTATTCATAGTGTCTTGCATAAAAGCCCCAACAGGCTTAAGTTGGACCGGGCCCAACAGCTTAAGCTCGTGAGTTCTTCATTCGCTCGTTTCTCTCCATCCAATGATCGGAAAATTGTATTGATTACATTTCGGAATCATTATAATGTCCTCATCATTACGAGTGCCAATGCTCAATTTCTAACTTTCTAAAAGTGGAAACCCCAATTCAGTGTACTTTCTAAATTTGGAAACTTCCCGATTTAGAAAGTCCACTAAGATGTTCGCATATTCTTTTCCTTTTCTTATTCTCATTCATAATTCCAAATTACGAATGTTGGACCCAATCATGTTGACTTCCAATCATGCAACGATAAAACACTTTTATCTCTGACCTTTCATTCAAAGATCTCATGTGCACGAGAAAGTGTGACCATCGATGGTTCAGGTGTAAGCTAGCCGTCAGTCCACAACCCTTTGTGGTCAAAACTCGTCCCTTAGAGTTACGATTAAGATGAAGCTCGTTTCACCTTAATCACCCAACGAATCAAGATTGGCGTCTAGCAACTACGCGTCATGATTCCCTAGATACAAATGAAGTCCATGCAAGAACCTTTTGATATAGTTAGCGTACAGTACGATCACTTCGATTCATATATCCCGATTGAACTAGATGCATTGGTTCATCGAGACCTCCTTAGTATTTCAAGGACCATGCAATCATTCTTAGTGTTTTAATCGGTACGTGCATGACTTAGAGAATCGAATTCTCTAATCATCACTTAGTCAGCATTGGCCATAGACTTTAGAGATTAAAAACTATGAGAACACACAGGACATCCCAGACTATTCTAGCGATCGAATCCCTGACTACAATGCACAGACCTCCCACTAGATTTCGGACTGCACGAACACTGGCCCTTGGGGCGGTCCTCGGTGGAACTCAAGGACAAGTCACGATACAACTGGTCCTCTAGTGAAGTCACGGTGATGTCTAGGTCATAAGGACTAATGGTGTACAACTATACCATAGATATCTCTAATCGATTATGGAGAACCACTCAGAGATTTATAGGGTGACAGAGTTCAGTGAACTCGTCAACTTACGAACACCCACTTATGCATGCCGATATCA